AAGAGCAATGGCTCTCACTTCCTATTGAACTGATAGACCGCATAATTGAAAGCATCACACATCGCTGTTTGTGCTGTATTGCTTCTAGAGGCAATCATATTCCATATTAAAGGTACTTTTTCTATTGCAAACCGATACTTCCAATTTGTTTATTTTATACATGTGCTAATTTCTATACTACTATTAATGTCTGATAATTTCTTTTTATGTTGTTTAATACCTTACTATGTGTTGTATATTGTGGGTAAGTTTCATAAAATTCCATGTGTAATTTCTTGAGTTATCGCGATTTTTGTGAATTTTCCTTAATTTATGATAACCAGTGTATATAGAGATATATATATATAGAAATATATATATATATACTTTTTTTTCGTGTTAATAAAATAAAAAACAATTCAAGGTAGTAAACAGATGAAATAAAAAGAATTAATTTGCTAATTGTAACTATGTTAAATTGCTAAGTAACTGTTGCTAATTGTGACTATGCTAATTTTGATTATGTTAAAATACTCAAATATTGTATTTTTCAGTTTCAACGTCATTACTGCTAAATTATTATCGCGAAGTTTTAGAATTATAAACAATCGTCATTATTATCCACAAGTCAATTTATCTAATGATAGGGCTTTTATACTACTAATTTTTGAGAGGTATGTTTTTATATTAAAATTTAATGTTTTGGGTTTTATTTTTCAGCCGAGGGTCGAAAACGTAGTCAAATAACTTTAGGTCATTCCAGTGAAGTCTCATTAAATGTCCAAGAAAAAGAAGTCAAATGTCTCAATGCAAGCATAATCGCACCTTCTGGATTAGAAGAGCCATGCTTTGTCAAGAAACGACAAGATGGCTCCCTCGGTATGTTAATCTTATATATTCACTATCGTACATCTTTTCATTATGTTATTCTACTTGGCTGGAAAATCAACTGAACACCAATCAAATCAACAAATCACAAATCAACTGAACACCAATCAATCTAAAGATATCAAAGATATTTGGCATTTTAGAAAATATCTATCTTTCTAAAATGCCAAATATATTTAGATTGTTATTTACGTATCTTGAGTATTTATAGAATTTACTTTTCCATCTTTAATCACCCTCGGTATTTTTTCGTTTAAAGTTGGACAAATGAACAAATGGAAAATGAAATGAAAATGTTTTATGGACAAATGAAAAATAATTTGTAACATTTTCCAATTTAATTCTTAGTTAAAGTTTTTTTTAAATAAAAAATAATTTACTTTTTCCGAACAATTCAATTTTTTACTAAAGTTTTTTCTCATCAACGCACTTCTGGAAACTATTTAATTTTTAAAAGTTGTTTCTTCATCATGATATTTTTTTTGACCAATCCCATGATTAAGAGGAATCATAACATTGGTCTAAAAAAGCACCCTGATTCTTCGTTATCATAATATTTTTTTCAGATCAATTTAATTTTTAATTAAGATTTCTTCCTATCGTCCTATTTTTTACAAGAAATTAGATCTTTTATTAAAGTTTCGACTTAATCATCATACTCTTATGGGCCATTCAGTTTTTATTTAAATGTTCTTCTTAATCATGATATTTTTTCAAAACAAATTCATTTTAAATTTAGGTTTCGTCCAAATTATAATGTTTTATTAAAAAATTGGATTTTTAGTTAAGATTTCTTTCTAATCCAAGTTTAAAGGGCAATTGAGCTCTTAATTAAAAAAATGTTAAGAATTATGATATTTTTTCCAGGCATATCTTTCACTCCAAGGGAAGAAGGAGAACATCAGATAAACGTGAAGAAACTCGGAAAGCATCTTCCAGGCAGTCCATTTAAAATAAATGTCCTTGTGAAGGATATAGGTAATGCAACAAAAGTAAAGATCACAGGAGCTGGCCTAAAAGAAGGCAAAACGCACACAGATAACCAGTTTGTATTGCATACTTCAGATGCTGGTAAGTAAATTGCTAAATATAGAGTGATTACGAAAAGTTATTGCCCAATTCTAATTGCTTTCACGAAAATTTCTTTTGGTGAAATTGAAAAGAAATATCTTTTGACCAGTTTCTTTATCATGTTTAACCAACCACTGAGAATTAGTTCAGTCAGTTGTTAATGAGTATTCAACTAAATGTTGAAATCTAAACTTAAAGTCTTAATTTGGTCTGTTGAAATCGAATTACGTTTAACCATAACAACGCTAGACTACGTGTCACTTAAGAGACTCTGTAAAATCTTATAAAATTAAACTGGGAAATTGACCAGAAACTGACATTGTTTCTTCGAATTTTCTTTTGTTTATTCTGTCCGTCAGCGAAAAAATTGATTCTACGGAATAGTCGAAAACTCCTATATGATATTTTTGAAAAAAATGTCACGAAATTTTTAAAAAGAAGAAATTTAAAAACGTTGTGTGAAAAAGAATTCTTGAAACAGTATTTTACTACTAGATCTTTCATTAATAATTAATTCATTAATAATTATTTCGTTAATTATTATTTCATTAATAATGATTTCATTTATAACTATTTCATTAATTATTATTTCATTAATAATTATTTCATTCATAATTCTTTATATTGCATTTATTTATTTCTTATTCCTTTCGTACATTTATTTATTTATAATTCCTTTTATATATTTATTTATTTACAATTGTTTTCATTAAAATGTGTTGAACATAATTTCGCTAAAGTCGGGTATAGATTTTTTCAAGTACCCACTATAATGTCTATAAATAAATTTCACTGAAATACTTCATCAATTTTGCAGAGTAATTCAGAACAAGAACCCAAAACGTAAATTGTAGAAATATATATTTCTCTTATTTTTATTGCTCTGTACAAACCAGTTTTATTATCTTATGAAACGTTGATCTTTTTCCAATAATCATCTTTTATCTGAATCTATGCTTCTTTTCGGCAATCAAACTGGTTTTTATATGGTGATTGGATAGCATTTGCCTTTCATAGCGTAGCTTTACTCATGAGTGTTATCCCAGTTTAGTGACCACACTTAAATGTGCGACTTTCAGTGCATACATTTTTGTCTTCATTTAAGACAGAAGTTTCTGAGAAGTATATATTAAGAGCAGCCATTACAAATCACCCTACATACCTCACATTAGTTTTTAAGACTCTTTTCCATTTACTATATAGAAATACTATAGACTATACTTTCAATTATAAATACATTAAATGAGTAGTTTCATACAATTTTCTATAAAACCAGTTAGTAGCACCAAAGGCGACTTTTTATACAGTGTAAAACTGGAAAAAAAATTCTTCCAAGAAGCCTCCTATTATAGAAACCTTTTTTTTTTTTCAAAAAATTGTGTTCTTTTAACTAGATGTTCCTTAATTTCGAAGGTAATAAGGCACAACATTTTTTTTTATTACTTTCATTAGTGATTTTTAAGCTGAGCAAAATTGGGATTATAAATTTAATACATATCTTAAAGAAAACATAAATGTGCGTAGAATTTTTTTATACTTGAATGATGGATGACAATATCGATAAGAGACTTACATTGCACATATATAACGAATACATTACGAATTATTAGTATAAAATTTTTAAAAAAATTATTTTCGATACTTTACTACTTTTCCTATATTGATAAAACTTGCTATTATTATTTTTTTTTCCATAGGCTTTGGTGGAATAAATTTTTCAGTAGAAGGCAGAAGTGCTGCCGAACTTAAATGCGAAGACAGAGGTGAAGGTGTCATAGTTTGCTCTTACAAACCATCTGAACCAGGATATTACGTCATTAATCTCAAATTTGCTGATCATCATATACCAGGTAAAAATAAAATGCGGAAGATCGTAAACTTTCTAAAATAAAATAAACTAAACAAAAATAACTAAAATAGTTCGTTTTATTATTGTTCGTTTTGTTCTAAACTTTGTTAAGAAAAACGACTAATTTCTTTTACCAGATTTCATCGCCTCATTTCGTATTTTTACAAACTAATGCTCGTTTTTTTTTAATACATTGTAAAATTTAATACAATACCTTAACTGAAATGATAGTAATTATTGGAAGTTCGGATGAATCTACAATATTTTTTATTATGACACACTATAAACATTTAAAACAAATGAATGAAACCATATTTTAACTTTATAAAGAATGATTACAATTAGTTTAAAAACTTTAGAAAATGTAATAGAATTTCGAAATTTCAAAATCTTTCATATTCCTATTTTCTTTTACCAGAACAATAATTATGAATACAAATAAAGATTTTATATTATCTAGATTTCCTTTTATACATTTATGAATCAAAATGCATCCGAAAATGAATTTTAAATTTTTTAATTTATAACATTCCTTCAGTATTCTTTTTGATTTAATAGTTTGCATGTGTTATTATTTTTGGCAAAAGCTGTATCAAAAAACTAATACTCCTCTTTATTCTAGGTAGTCCATTTACTGTAAAAGTTACTGGTCCTGGGTCTAATAACGTTAGAGAAACTATCAAAAAGAAAGTTGATCAAGCACCTGTCGTTGATATTGGACAAGAAGGGAAGTTGATATTTCGATTACCAGGTACAAACTCAACCGAACAATTTAGAATTATGCAATCAGCATCTAAGCTTTTCGATATACAAAAATGAGTTATTGTTCTTTCTCACTGAAATAATTTCTTTATTCATTTAAAGTGAGGGCAATTTCAATTGAAAAAATTTATCGCTTTCAGTTGAATTTGGCATCACTTTGGATTGACAATTGCTTTATAAATAACAGCAACTTTCGCTTATAAATAACTTTTAAACAAAGAAACTCACACTTTATAACAAAATAAAAAGTTTGTTTTGGCATATAATAACATAAATAACTTGATAATAGCGCCAAAAATCGGAATGTTGAAAAGATAATTATTTCACAAAATATCTGAATATTCAGGAATCATTTTGCTAATAGATACTATATAACAGATAATTTTAAAATAGAAGTTTTGAATATTTAAGATAATAGAGATATTTTGAACAGTTTTAAATGCAGAAAGGAAGAATACACATTTTTAATTTTTAATAAGATACCCAAGATAAATTTGAGTTCGTTATAGATTAAATCCACAGGAAAATTTTGCTACGTTTCTTTTTAAAAAAATGAATAAAAAAACTTCAACTAAATAAAATAAATTTTTAAAAAAATTGGCTCTCAACCAATCAGACTGTTACCCGTAAGTCATAACTCGCTAAACTAAGCTTAGCTATTACAGTAAAATCAACTTCATCTTCAAATAAATAAGCATGACAAATATTTTTCTCAATTTATTGATTTCTTTCAAGGTACTAATGCCTTCGACATGGCTGGAAAAGTTACCAACCCAACTGCAGTAACAGAAGACGCTGTGATCGTTGACATGGAAGAGTGCCTGTACGGTGTGTCTTTCATGTCCAAAGAGCCAGGAGTCCATACAATCAGTGTCAGATCCAAGGAAATTCACATACCCGGTTCCCCGTTCCAGTTCACTATTGGAAGTCTGCAGACATTCGGAGCCCACAAGGTCCATGCTGGAGGTCTTGGTCTGGAACGAGGTGGTGCTAATGAGCCCTGTAAGTTCTCAACTCGTTGAAATATCCTTTCAACGTTGAACCATAATGTTGGTACTCTGAACCTTAATACGGAGCAAATTTGCCGAACCTTAATGAGCTGTTAAATCGAATCATGTTTACTTTCAAGTTGAACCATGACATTGTGCAATCAAGTTTATAAAATACGATGATAGGGTTTTAATGTACGATTGTAAGTCAAATTAACATCGTATTAAGATTTCAGTAAACATGATCGATATTATGGTTTAATACACACAGTGAAAAATTTCGGTTCAAATTACGATATAAAGTACCGGCACTTTGGGTTCATCATCCGTAAAATCCATTGTTATCGTAATATTTACTTAATTAGAACGATTCAGTGATTTTACTGTAATTATTACTGTAAAAATTATGGTATATCAAATTTTTGTTCTGTAAAGCATCCCGTTAAAAATTGATTTTACGTTAAAAAGTACAGGCACCCTGAGTGACAGTACTTTTTACCGGAATTCTGCACGGGGCACTACAAAGTCTCTAACAGTATACTTTCAACTTTAGTTTTATTTGACTCACAAAATAATTAAGACTTATTTTAAAAATGCAAGTCTTGCAAAAAAAAAAATTCTTTTTACAATTCTAACAACGGGATGGATTATTATGCCATGCAAATTCAGTTTAAAAAATCAACTCATTCACAAAAAAATGTGCATAGATGATCAGTGATCGCAAGACGGCCTAAAGAATTTATTGACTGTTGAGATAATATTTGTTTCAATATTTCTCTTCCTGTTATACATTAATATTCGTAGTATATTACACGACAGCAATTAAATAATGCATAGAAATATTTATTTATAAAGACTACAATTGTTAAAGACATAATGAAATAGTATTTAATTTTATAAAAATAAAGTTTAATCGAGGTAGGTTCGAGTACACTGGTTCGAATTACAACAATGGATTCGTAAACTAAATTCTTCGTGAAGTAGACTCTATTCGCAAACTCTTGTGCATACTAAAATGTTTAACATCAAGTATCCTCAATAACAGTAGACAACTAAGATGCAAAATGACCTAAAAAAGTACTTGTATCCACCTTTTCCTTGTAATTAAAAGAAGGTGTAGCTTTATTAGAATAGTCCTTCACGAACGCAAGTTTTCCCTCATACATAAAAATTCTCTGCTCATCCGATTTATTGAGTGAATGTTAAGTGACACAAAAGATGGAAGTGGCTATACTACAACAAACGTAAACGTTATTACGTATTCAACATAATTAATTCATACGCTGTTATAAACAAAGATGAAAAAATTTACTAAATTGCTCGGTATCAAAAAAACCGTGCTTATCAGAAAAAAGCAAACCACAAATTGCTTTGAAAGATCTGACTTTAATTTATTTGGATATGAGCAGAAACTCTTATCACCAAAAACACCAAAATAGGCTGTTTAATTAGAGTAAAAATGAAATGAACCTACTATTCTCGCATTTGAAGTATTAAATTTTAGTATAGCATCAAATGACTTGCGCTATTAAATGACATATAATAAAGTGATAGCGATAATTTCCGGTTTTTGTCATTTCATATGCTTCCTGTAGTTAAATCATTTATTTCATTTTCAGGTGAGTTCAACTTGTACACCAGAGAAGCCGGAGCAGGAGTATTGAACATTTCAGTCGAAGGGCCATCAAGAGCCGAAATAAATATGAATGAAATAAGTCCAGGATCTCATTGCGTAACTTACAAAGTCACTGAACCAGGTTTGTTTCAAGCATTTTAATAACAAAATTGCTACATTTTATTTTTCACCGTATATAAAAGTGTCCAGCAGTGGACTGATCGTTAAGACACGGCTCCCAGCAGATCACCGAAGTCAAGCATCACTGGCTATGGCTTTGATCAGACTGCGATGGGACCGAAAGTGTGCGGTATTGGTCCTCTTCAAACTGTTCAACCGTAAAGTGCTCGACTTCGCGCGCAGTTCGTCGGGCTACCGAAGCGGGGATGCCATTCCCTCCGCAGAGGATCAAAATTGTGATGGCGTGTCTTCTAATCAACCTCAGCAATGTTTCCCAAACCGTCGCCAATAACCCATTGTGCAGCTCTAGTGCGACGTAAACCAACAACAACAACAAAAGGCATGTAGACTGAAAGATTCATGTCTCAATGTCACCAATAAGCCTTAACTAATAATAGCCCATTGTGCAGCTCCAGTACAACGAAAATAAATTACAACAATTACAATATAAAAGTTCAAAGATGACAATTGTCAAGATGTCAACACTTGTTATTGCTATCCGTACGCGTGTTATTGCAAAAAGCACTATACCTTACTCATTTAAACAAATTTCAACTCATACTTTTTTAAGTTTTTTTTTCAAGTGTGGGCTCTGTTGAAATATGTTAAAAATAACAACACCGATTTCTTATAAAGTTTACATTGGCGATCCTCTCAATAATTATTTTTCTAATTCGTCACAAAAATGTTGAAAATTGACAATTTATTTGTCTTTCAGGAGAGTACAGAATCGGTATCAAGTTCAACGATGAACCCATCCCAGACAGTCCTTTTAAAACTTACATTCTTCCGGACGTGGGTGATGCCAGAAAGATAGAGTTGGGACACGTACCTGATGCCGGATTGCAAGTCAACAAACCCATTGCATTCACCATTCAGATGAATGGTGCAAAAGGCCTTATTGATGGTAAAGTTGTATCTCCATCGGGAACTGAAGATGACTGTTTTGTATCACCAATTGATGAAGGTGATTTTTTTTTTCCTTTTATGTTAATCACTTCTTTCAAAATTAAATGATATAAGAGTTTTTATTCCATGTTAAATTTAATAATTAAGAGCAAAAAATTATAGATTTTTATATACTTTGTTCCATCTATTTCACTTGTTTCTATTGTAATTACTTGCATAAAAGGGTTACAAACGAATCCTTTAATGGAATAATCCAGAATTTAAAAAATAAAATAACGAATCTATATGTTGAAATTAGAGTTAAGCTCATTATAACTATTCTATATCTTTAATAAATCTTCAATAATTGATATAACCTTTTATAAATTTTATCTGACAAATAGACTGGTTCTGAACATTTGAACTTCACCTATACATTGATGATTTAATTAATTGTCGAACTTTGATAACGATTTTTTTTTCATTTGTATATTAATTTAAGTCTCGAGTATTATCTAGCAGCTTGCTTTCAGACAACGATTCTCAAATATATATTAAACACGTTATTTTTAAAACAGCTTGCATGAATGATGCATGCAACTCACATAACTATAACAAATGCACACTGTAACAGATTAAGGATTTTTTTTTTATGTTAATTTTAATTGTAGCAGCTAAAGCTGGTAAAAATTTACTGTATGAATAATATACAATATTATTTTTTTTAATTCTTCATATTTGAAAACATTACTTTCTCCTATTTCAAAAGCATATTTTTTACTCGTTAAATTTCATAATTATACTTAGTACTACTTCAACAAAAATAACTTTAGTGATACTCGTGCTCTGACCGCTCTCGTGTATGGACGGGAAATATACGAACTAATATATTCTCTTTTATTAAATTTAATAATATTTCAGATTCTTGGGCTCTGCGATTCATTCCCCGTGAAAACGGTATTCATCAAATACATCTTAGACACAATGGAACTCATATTCCACAAAGCCCTTTTAGGATAGTTATTGGACATGACGATGCTGACCCAGCCGCTGTACAAGCAACTGGTAACGGACTAAAGGAATGTAAATCTGGTAAGTATATTTTTTCTTCTTCATGTTTTTTGTCACCTCCATAGTAAAGGAAGATTTTAATTTGCATGCATAATGCACAATGAAGAAAAATAAAAAACTTTAAACATTTCAATATGTTGATTCAAATACATTAAATATCTAATACATTAATTTATTCAAATACATATTAAATATTCTAATCAATGAGTGCTGGAGAGTGCTACTTCAAGCAAATTAGAAAAGCAGATATAAAAACGCCCTTTCTCTCAAAAATAATAAAAAACGACAAATTAAAAAATAATGAAAAATTTAAAAATTAATTTTAGCATATTATCTTTGAAGTAATTAATTTTTTAATTGTGTACATAAACACGTGTAACTTCGCGTAATTAGTTCTAGAGATGAAGCGGAACTTGCTAAATATAAAATGAACTGTTAGAGAAAATTTCTAACTTCTAATCTATCGAATAAAAACAAAGGTATTAAGACGAAGTGTGTTTTAATGCCTTATTTTATTAAATAACGCTCAATATCGTTTGCAGTAATATGTCGTTTTACCTAAAATATCGTTTAAACTGATATGTTTTTTATATCTAAACCGTCGTTTGCATTAATATAGCATTTATATCTAAAAGATCATTTGCACTAAATAATTTGCATATTTAGCCCATCAAACCATTAAAGCTGCAACAAACCATTAAAGCTGCACGTGAAATCAATAGATTAAAAGTTATTCAAATAATAACGCTTTATTTATGTTTTTTTCTTCTTTTTTTTTGCATACCGTTACAGCAAATGAAATCCGATACATTTCATTGCTATGCGACTCTAAAGGTTTTTGTTCTTTCAGGAGCTAAAACCGACTTCTTAATTAACACATGCAACGCTGGATCTGGACAATTAGCAGTTACCATTGAAGGCCCTTCCAAAGTCTCCATGGATTGTACAGAAGTAGCAGATGGTTACAAAGTGCGATATACACCACTGGCACCTGGAGATTATTTTGCAACAATTAAATACAATGGATACCATATTCCTGGAAGCCCTTTTAAAATTCTATGTACAGGTAAATATTTGTAGTTATATATATATATA